CTAGCAGCTTCTTGATTGGCTGCAGGTGTTCTAATCAGCCTGTCTTAATTGTCTCCCGAAGGTTCCTGATTGTTCTGGAACCTTCCCTGTTCCCTTACCCAGGGAAAAGGGACCTACTTAGCCTAGGGCTAATATATCTGCCTTCTATTACTCTCCTATAGCCATCTGGCCCGACCCTGTCACACAGGGTTTAAAAGAGAACTGGATAAATTCACAGAAGTCTATTAATGGCTATTAGCCAGGTTAAGTCTATTAATGGCTATTAGCCAGGATGGGTAAGGAATGCTGTCCCTAGCCTCTGTTTGTCAGAGGGTGGAGATGGATGGCAAGAGTGAGATCACTAGATCATTACCTGTTAGGTTCACTCTCTCTGGGGCACCTGGCATTGGCCACTGTTGGTAGACAGGATACTGGACTGGATGGACCTTTGGTCTGACCCAGTATGGCCATTCTTATGTTCTTATGTATCACTTTGAATTCCAGGACGTTGATATGAAGCCAAGCCTCTCTTCGAAATCACTGACACTGTACTGCAGTGGTTCCCAAACTGTGGGTTGCGACCCTATAGGGTTGCATCCTCAGCAGATGGGGTCACGGTGATCACTAGTGTATGGAGGGCACCATTTTGCTCCACACAGCGTGACCTTGCATGTATGGCGTGTGTGAGGTCACAAAGCATGAAGGATGCCATTTTGCTCTTCAAAATGGTAACTTCCATGCTGCCTGGTTTCCAGGAGGAAAGAATTCATTAACATGGGCTAGTGCCAGGAACAAGTGTGCGAACCCTGCTGTATTGTAAAGTTGTCAAGATGGGCTCCCCAACCCAGCAATGAAGCAGCGGTCACTACCGACTTTGTGAGAAGTTCTAGGGAGAACAAAACTCCCTTGCAGATCTGATGTGGAGTTCTACACTTTCCAAATCCTTTTACTTGCTTTTATCTGAATCTTTAACTCCAGCTCTGGTAATAAGTTTCAGTTTGGGTTCAGTCTAGATGTGTCTAAGTGCCGTGTGCTTTGGGCAGTGCTGACGAGAGGAGATGCCTGGGAAGAACTGTTTCCCCAGGGCCAGCGAATCAGTATACTCGGCAGGTGGCCAGATGACAAGGGACTGGGCATCTCCTGTAATTAGATGGAGTGTGTAAACTGCTAGGGGGAACGACCGGGGCTTCTGGTAGTCCAGAAGGGGAGCTTGTGTTGCCTGCAGCTGATAGACGCCCTTGTGATGAAGTGGGACTGTTCTTAATGTTCTCTCTGAATACTGTGTGGGTGTCTCGGTTTCCCCTCAGCATTTCTTAAGTCTCTAGGTGGTGGGATCAGGGGGTGTGATTGTTGCAGAGCCCTAGGGGGCCAGTGTGATGGTGTCTGCACAGAGAATGGCCGACACCCTGTTTCCTGGCAACTGATGGCCTGGACCTTTCCCCCCTGCAAGGTGAAAGCTGAAGGGTTGGAGAACAAAGGAATCAGGTGCCCTCCTGGCCCGGGAAAGGGACAAAGCCCAGAGGAGGAGGGGCTGGAGAGAGTTACAGTTTGGGGCTGGCTGTGGACATGGAGTGAAGGGCAGACGGGGTTGTCTGGCTCACTGCCCCCCAAAATGGACCCAGCTGAGGGGTCCTGTTCTCTGCACCTGCAAACTCTGTTTTAGACCATGTTCCTGTCATCTAATAAACCTTCTGTTTTGCTGGCTGGCTGAGAGTCACGTCTGACTGCGGAGTTGGGGGGCAGGACCCTCTGGCTTCCCCAAGACCCCGCCTTGGCGGACTCACTGGGGGAAGTGCACGGAGGGGCAGAGGAGGCTGAATGCTCCGAGGTCAGACCCAGGAAGATGGAAGCCGGGTGAGCTTTGTGTCCTGAAGACAGGCTGCTCACAGAAAGGAGACTTCCCCAGAGTCCTCACTGGCTTCATGGGGAGCAGTTCCAGAGCATCGCCCAGGGACTCCGTGACAAGCCCCAACAGATGCTGAAGGGCTGTGTGACCTGGGTGAAGGTCCCATGGATGGGGCCCCTCGCCCTGCCTATGGCCCAGATCCCTGTGCAGACCCAGGAGGGGTCGGGCTGGCTGGTCGTTCGGTTCTCCAGGATATCGGCTGTGAGGTCCTGTTGTGGGGTGACTGTGTCTCTTTGGGACAGGATCCAGGCCCTGCTTCTGTAATGGCCAAGGGTTTGAATTTGAATCCAAGGAACCAGTCAGTGGAGAGGGAAATGGTCAGTGAAAATGCAGATGACTTGGCTGGCAGTGGGGAGGAGCTGCAGGGAGGAGGGCAAGATACCTGCCTGCCTGTAACCAGCCCCCTGGGGCTGGGTGAGACAGAGAGATGCTCCCTGCCCCCCTGCACACGGGAGAGGGGGCTCACACTGGCTCCGATGCTGTAAGGAGAGCAGAGAGCTCGCTGCCTGCCCCCACGGGGACAGCAAGGGCAGCGCTGAGCAAGGGGGGGAGCTGAGACCCCAGTTGAGGGGGGGGGACCCACAGGCAGGGCAGTTCGGCTGCCAACCAGGTTTAGCTGGTCCAGAGATACTGCTGGGAAGTGATCCCAGGGCAGGGAAGGAGCGACCAGGGACAGGGCTCAGTGGGGCTGTGACCCCAGGCCCAGCCCACGAGAGAGAGCAGGTCCCACTCCCTCCCCCAGCACCTGAATTCCAGACCGAGCTACGGAAGGATCCCTCCTAGGAGGAGCTGAGGGGACTTGCTGGCCACAGGCTGCAAACCCCCGTGGGGAAGGCTGCAGGGACAGATTCCCGTGGGAGAAGGGATTCCTGTACCAGGAAGGGGCTCCCCCCAGGGGAAGTAGAACCGTGGGGGATCAGGAGGCCGCTGGGGGTGCCCCAGAAGTGTCGCCGCCGGCTGTCGTACCTGGCCCACAATGACCCTCTCTCGGGACACCAGGGGATCCAGGCCCCAGGCAGCGGCTGCTGCAGAACCACGACTGACCTGGAGTCTGGGACGCGGCCCAGCGGCACGGCAGGTCCTGCAACCCCGGCCAGAGGGTGGGGAAGGCCGGGATAAGGGAGAAGCTCCCTTGAGACCCCTGCCCAACACAGAGGAACCTTTCCAGAAGGTGACTATGGACATAGTGGGGCCCCTCAGCAAGGTGACCTAGGCAGGGAAGAAATACGTCCTGGGGGTGATGGATCTCGCCACCCGCTACACAGGGGCGGGGGCTCTGTCCTCCACCAAGGCAGACACCAGGGCAGACGCGCTGCTGACCATCTTCAGCAGAGGGGGTGTCCCCAGCAAGGTCCTTACAGACCAGGGGTCCAATGTCCTGTCAGCCTTGCTCTGGGGCTGGTGGGAGAAATGGGGGGTCTGGCCCACCTGGGCCTCTGCAGGTCACCCTCCGTCCCACAGGCTGGTGGAGAGAGTTTATGGGACCCTGGGGTTGATGCTGAGGACTTTTATGAATCAGCATCTGCAGTCTCGAAGCGGGGAGAGATGTGACAAAGTGGGAATGTTCTTAATGTTCTCTCTGAATACTGTGTGGGTGCCTCAGTTTCCCCTAGGCATTTCTTAAGTATCTAGCTGGTGGGATAAGGAGGTGTGATTGTTGCAGCACCCTAAAGGGCCAGTATGATGGTGTCTGCACAGAGGATGGCTGATGCCCTGTCTCCTGGCCACTGATGGCCTGGGCCCCTCCTCTGCAAAGGTGCCAACTGAAGGTGTTAGAGAACAAAGAGATCAGGTGGCCTCCTGGCCCGGGAAAGAGACAAAGGCCAGAGGAGGGGCTGGAGAGTTTCAGTTTGGAGCTGGCTGGGGAAATGGAGGGAGGCCCAGATGGGGCTCTGGGCTCCCTACCCCCACAAGATGGACCTGACTGAGGGGTCCTGTTCTCTGTACCTACAAGTTCATGGTTTTAGATCATGTTCCTGTCATCTAATAAACCTTTTGTTTTACTGGCTGGCTGAGAGTCACGTCTGACTGCGGAGTTGGGGGGCAGGGCCCTCTGGCTTCCCCAGGAGCCCTGCCTGTGTGGACCCACTGTGGGAAGCGCATGATGGGGCAGGGGATGCTGAATGCTCCGAGGTCAGCCCCAGGAAGGTCGAAGTTGTGTGAGCTTCTTGCCCTGGAGACAGTCTGCTCAGAGAGAGGAGGCTCCCCCAGAGTCCTGCCTGGCTTCGTATGGAATAGTTCCAGAGCATCGCCCGGAGACCCCGTGACAGCCCTCATGCTGTAAGCTGGTGGTAGCAATTCACCCAGACAGCATCGTTAACACCAGACAGTGTCATGCTAATAAATACGACTTCGTTTTGCCTTGTGTTTCTCCAGAGGCTCATTGGTAGCACAGCCTCTCCCTGGCATCTGAGCCCAGCTGGAACAGGGTGCTGGTGCCCGAAGGCTCAGTACTGGAGCTGTTGAGGCCAGGTGGCCTGCCCTTGTAGCACAGGGTGACCTCTTGGGGGCCTGGCACACTAACAGAGATCTCCCCGGAGATGGTTGAAAGGCGGGGGCATAGCACAGACCTTGTGAATCCTGTTAACACTGCACTTGCGGCCCCATGCAGAGCCTCAGCCTGGAGCTTGCTGCTCCCTTAACTGAGCCAGCCAGCTCTACATCTGTAACCACAGAGCCAAGATGGCATTCACCTGCCCCATGGGCAGCCTGCCTCCAGCCCCATTCTCTTCCAATCAGGATCTAGGCTCCATTTTACTGGGCCTCACCACGGCCAAGCAGAGGGGGGGGCCAGGAGGGCCATTTGGCCTGGGCCTCAAACTCAAAGGGGGCCTCAAATTTAGATACTTGTTAATTTTTTGGCATTTGATAAGTTTTGCAACTTGTTTTTATGCCCATCCCTATTGGACCAAAATGTGACACACTCTCTCAGCTTAGAACTGCAATTTTAAGCAAATAAGAGCTGTGATTTGGTAAAAGACAGAATTTTTTTGTTAAGTGATATAGATTTTGTCATATTAAAGAGTTCAAAATGTTCACAAATATTAATAAAAATATATTGGTTCTGATGGCACAAGATTAGACCGTGATGAACGTGTTCTCTCAGATCAGCTGATTACATAAATAAACCACTACTAGTGGCTGGTGCTGGATCAAGTGCGTGCTGAAAGGTACAGAATTGTTACATTTTAGTATCTTTACAGTTTTATGTCTAGTTGACTAAGGTATTATTTGTGTGTGAGAATTCTTCATTATTATCTTCATATGGTAGCTAAAAGAGGTGACTGGTTGGGCTGGTTGAGCCCTAGCTTGGTAGCTTGGCCATCATCATGACTTTCGTAGTCCGTAGGCCCGGATTCAAGGTGAAAATTTGTGAGGACAGTCTTGTACAGTAAGTTTCGTGAGGACACACATTTGAAATGTTTGGACATTATCCCTCTGTCTGTATCCGTGTCTGTGTTTACTATATATACGTCATCCCTTTGTCTTCAGATCAGCCTATTATATTATACCTTGTGTGCTTGAGTTTTGATTCAGTGATAAGAATAATAACCTGACTGTTTCATTTTGTGTTCTTAATTAGTATTCCTTCATTTTCAGCATTTGTGTATCATTCAGCATTTGTGTACGTTTACAGTAGAAGATTTCAAGTTTAGATAAGCTATTTATTTACAGCAGAATATTTCAAGTGTGGATAGGCTCCATATTGACCAGATAGATCACTATGAAGAGGAGATTTGAAAGTGGTGCAAGGAAGAGATGACGAAAACAACTGAGTGAAGCAGCAGCTAAGAGCTCAAAGCCAATAACTTCATTTCTCAAACCACTGGAAAACACACCTTACCCAACAAACAATGCTACAGATAATGAAAACTCCGCAACTGCAACAGGTGATATTTCAGTGCCAATACCTGAACATGAGGACAGTAGTCAAGAAGGAGATGTGCCAACAGTAACAGATGCAGGAGAAGATACTGTGTACGATTAAGAAACTCAACAGCAACAGGAAGATGTAGATCTTACGCAGTAAGAGCAATTCATGAGTACTACAGGTTTGACTATGACTGACATTGGAATTATTGACAAGAGCAATGCTGCCCAAATACAATCTTTTCTTCAAATTAGTTGTTTTGAAATTCCAAGTAACATTCCATGAGATGCTGTTAATCATGCTTTCCCTACTCATCTGCTGACAAAAACTCTTCCAAGTGGTGAGACCTGCACAAGAGACTGGTTATGCTGGAGTACGGAAAAACAATCTCTGTACCGTGCACCCTGCTTCATTTTGAACAAAAGTGCTGCAAATGCATCAGGTCTCTCTGACCAATCAGGATGGCACATCAACAGGGGTTGGAGGAAGTTGAAAGACTGAATACCATCCCGTGAGAGTTCACCGTCACACAAAGAACACTATGTTGCATGGAAATCAGCCAGTAGGGCAGCATTAGCTGAAAGTTCAGTTGAGAATTTACTCTTGACTGAACTCTGTACAGAAACTAACAACTGGAAAAAACTTCTTGAGCGCATCCTGAATGTCATCCTTTTTCTTTTTGACTGGGGATTGGCTTTCTTTGGTTCTAGTCAATGTACTGGTGATCGTGCAAATGGAAACTTTCTAGGCATAGTGGAGCTCCTCAGCAAATATGACCCACTTTTATCAGAGTATGTTAAATGTATTTGAGAATCGCAAGAGAATCAAAAGCACATACAAGTCCATTATCTCGCCACATGCATACAAAACGGGTTTATTGAGCTATGTGGGTCATTCGTACAAACAACAATTCTTGATGAGATTCAAAATGCCAAGTATTTTTCAATCATTGTTGATGCCACTCCAGATTGTTCTCACAGGGAACAGACTACTATGGTTATTTGATACGTTAAGATTGTAGACAGCTCAAAATTTTGAATTGAAGAAAGGTTTATTTTGTTTGATAATTTCATGAGAAAAACTGGGAAAGAAATTGCTGCTCAAGTACTAGTAATTCTAGAAGGTTTTAAGTGAGATTTTCAAGTCTGCATTGGTCGAGCCATGACAATGGATCCAATATGGCCGGGAAGTACAAAGGTGGACAAGCAGTTCTGCTTGAGCATAATTCAAACTGTATTTTCTCCAGCTGTGGAAACCACACACTGAACCTGGTAGGTGTTGACTGTGCTGAATCATGCAAGGAGGCAATTACTTCCTCTGGAACTGTTCAGCAAATGTACAATCTCTTCAGTAGCAGCCCACAAAGGTGGGAAATTCTGAAGCAATCTCTTCCTGTTTCACTGCAGGGGATGTCCAGAACTAGATGGTCTGCACGGATTGATGGGGTTCAACCAGTTGTGCAGCATTTGAATTCAGTGAGAAAGGCTTTAGATGAGCCTGAAGCTCTCAGTCTCACTGCACAGGCTCGAACTGAACTTCAGTCTGTTCAGAGGCACATGTCCAAATTTGAATCCATTCTGACACCATCTTTGTGGATGAAGCTACTTTCAATGATCCATCAAACTAATCTGGGAATTGAAGCACGCAATGCTACCCTTGATGTTGAGAGGTTTCCAAACCCTTGCACTTGCTTTTATCTGAAGCGTTTTCTCTCAATAAACTCCAGTCTGGTGTTCCCATAAGCCTGTCCAGTGCCTTGTGCTGAGGAGCCTGGGGACTGAGGTGGAACCAGGGAGCTGGGGTGTACTGTTTCCATGGCAGCAGCTGGGTGTACATTGCCGGGGTGCAGAAAGCATGGGAATATAAATCCAGGACTGGGTTAAAATCATGCTTGGTAAAAATCAGATGAGGTGGAACTGGATATTAATCAATTAAAATTGGTGTGCTGGATATTAGGCTTGATTGGTGGACAAAATAATGAGGGGCTGGCTATTCCGCCATCACCGCCTTTTGGGGTCCTTAGAGAAAGAGACTTTGGCGGAGGGGGAGAACAGATGGAGGCTATTGGAGCAAACATCACCAGCATCAGCTGTGCCCACCATCTCCTGTGACCCAGGGCCTTCTCTCCTATGCCTGAGGGACATCCTTACCAACCTGGGCTAGAAAGGACGCAGACACTTCCTCCCCCACCAGCTTCAGCTGAATCCTGGTCACCACCTGAGCTGAAATGGGCTTGGACTGTAACAGCAGCTGCAGCTCCAACCCCTCTCAGCTCACGTCCTTGCCTTCCCCCAAAAGCAGCATTATCACCATCTCTGATACGTCTGAGGGCATGCCAAACCCAGGGGCTTTCTGCTGAAACTCGCTCAGCTACAGGCAAAGGGGAAGGGAAGCTGTTCAGATGAAAGCCCCATTCACTGCTCTACAGGCAAGGGTCAGCTCTCTCCCATCTCGTCCGTATCGCTACTAAAGGGCTACAAGGATGTTTGCTGGTTTGCTGGCTGTGGTACCAGGCAGGCTGAGGACTCCACCCGCCAGCCCTCACACCTTCTTTAACACTGCTCAGTGCTGGACAGTGACTGGGTTCTGCGAACACCTCTGGCCCACTGACTCTGTCTAAATCAATACAACAGCCCCTCCCGGCACCTGGTAGAAGTCCTCTTGCCCAAGCAGCTGCTTGGCACTCTCCCAGCCAGGCTCCTTGCTGAACATCATGCACAGGGTATCCGTCACCCTCAGGATGGATGCTGGTGGTAACCGGTAGCTCCGCAGCTCCTCAATGTCCTGCACCTGCAGTCCAGCCAGTGCTGCCTTGTACTCAGTATTCATCTGAGGGAAGGGACAGACAAGCTGCACTGGGGCATCCCACATACACCCCTCCCCAGATGGGTGGGGACTGGGCCAGGCTGGGCCTCACTGGGGCACCCCACGTACTCCCCTCTCCTCTGGGCAGGTACCAGGGCAGCCGGGCCTCACTGGGGCACCCCATGTACCCCTGTGATGCCACGGGAATTCTCTAACAAGTTTATGAATGACAGGCAAGGCAGTGACTGGACTAGGTGTTGCTACCCAGTGGGAGCCAACGGGTCAGCCGCTGCTCTCAGGGCAAGGCAGGTCCTGGAGCATGTGTCAGGAACTCTCTGGGGTGGGATGAGGGGAGTTAGGCCTGGCTCAATCTGACCCAGCTCAAGGGAGGATGCTCAGACAGGGGAAGTGGCCAGGACTGAACGGCTGACACCTGACAGCAGGGAACTCTGGCAGGGGACTGAACTCCAGGAGGACAATGGCATGAAAGGTGACAGGAGGCTGGGATAAAAGCAGTCTTTGAAGAGGCCTGGGGGCTCATTTGGGCCTGGGAGACAAAGAGACAGAAATGGCTTGGCCAGCATGGACAATGTCCAAAACGCTGCTTCCCAGGGCTGACTTAAGGGCTTCCCCGGGCTGTGCTCCAGGTGCCTGCTTTGCACAGGTGGCTGGTGTCGCTGCAGATCCTGGCTGAGGTGCCTGGATCCCTGAAGAGTGTAGAAGTCTCTGACCAGGAGCTTATGGCAGCTGCACTCACTGGGCAGAGCTCAGGGCGGGACCCAGGAGGCTGGAGCCCAGTGGCTCAGTCTAGTAGGCGTTGAGGCTGCATGGCCTGACCTTAAGGGACAGCAGGATCCTTTGAGGTCTGGCCCACTGAAGGGATTCCCCCAAGGGACTGTTTAAAAGATCGGGGGTGGCACAGATCCGATGGATCAGTGACTTCACCTCCCCTGATGGACAGGCATCAATAGGGAATCCCACGTATCCCCCTGACCACCACATAACGGGCCGATTCCCACCCATCTCCCACCCGTTGCCCCTGCTGGCCAACCAGCTGGGCAGCAATAACGTATCCTGACCCACACCAACTCCCGCCCATGTGAGGCTCACCCCTACTGATGGGCCTTGCACCTAAGCCCCTGCATCTCCAGGGGCTCAGCCGGGCCGGGTGCCCACCCCTGCCGTTCCAGGGGCTCAGCCAGGCAGCCGGGCCGGGCGCCCACCCCTGCCGTTCCAGGGGCTCAGCCAGGCAGCCGGGCCGGGCGCCCATCCCTGCCATTCCAGGGGCTCAGCCAGGCAGCCGGGCCGGGCGCCCATCCCTGCCGTTCCAGGGGCTCAGCCAGGCAGCCGGGCCGGGCGCCCACCCCTGCCGTTCCAGGGGCTCAGCCAGGCAGCCGGGCCGGGCGCCCATCCCTGCCGTTCCAGGGGCTCAGCCAGGCAGCCGGGCCGGGCGCCCACCCCTGCCGTTCCAGGGGCTCAGCCAGGCAGCCGGGCCGGGCGCCCACCCCTGCCGTTCCAGGGGCTCAGCCAGGCAGCCGGGCCGGGCGCCCACCCCTGCCGTTCCAGGGGCTCAGCCAGGCAGCCGGGCCGGGTGCCCACCCCTGCCGTTCCAGGGGCTCAGGTCCGTGCACACCTTTCTCATGGCAGACTCCTTGCTCTGCTCCAGCAGTTGCTGCTCCTGTGTAAGGATCTCGATGCGCGCCTCGCGGTGCTGACGGTCCTGCTCCTGCTGCTTCTGCACCACTTCTTCATGCTCCGCCCGCCGCCGGCACCTGGCCACTTGCTGAGGGCAGGAGAGGAGCAGACATGGCACCAGCAGCCCACACAGCCCTTCCCTCTGCTGCTGCCCAACCCCTGCCTCACCCCCAGCATCAACCCAAGCCATTGCTCCAGGCTGTGAGTGTCTGAGCAGGACAGTTACTCTACGGATGAATACTCGCCCCACTCTGTCTGGAGGTACAAATCCGCAAACCCTGTGGAGAGCGCCCCCTGCCTTCTCCCTGCAGCTGTACTGCGGCCTTGGGAAGGGTCCCCACTCTGCAGCACAGCGCCCCCAGCACCACGCTGGGTGAGCTGATCTGGTGGGTGACAGCACAGGGCGCCAGGCTTTCCTGGAGGCCACCCTCTCACCTCCTTGGCCATGCGAAGTTTCTCCTGCAGATACTTGATGTCCCGGTTGTGCTCCCGCAGCTTCTCACTCACTGCCCACATCTTGGTCAGAGCAAGCTTCATCCTGCCCCAAGGAAAACAGAGTGAGGCTCCCGCACCCCCCCAGCGCATGTTCAGATCCAGGGCACTAGGGGCACTTGAATGTGGGGGTGCAGCCCAGGGACCCCTCCAGCTGGATCCTTCTGTTCCAAAGCCAGGAGCCCCTAGTGGGCAGCTCTGGGATAACCTGACCCTGGCAGGGAGAGGCAGCTTGTGTCCTGGTCAGGGGGTCAGACCCTGCTCCTCACCCATACTCCTGGGGTGGAGGGGGAAAAGGAGGCACCCCATCCCCATTCTCTCCCTCAGCCACGTCTCCTCAGTCACAGAAGCTTGGCACACACAAGTCTGGAGCTGTGGTTGCATGGCCCCCCAGAACACTGCTGCCGGCTGTTAGAATGGGGGCAGCTTGAAGGCCCTCTTGCTGAGTGTCGAGACCCCACAGTCCAGCCATTACTGACATGGGAAGTTTACCCTGCTCAGCGCTGATGGCCTGGCCCATGGGGCAGAGCCATGTGGGGGCACCATGGGGCCAGAGTTAAGGTTGTGATGGGGAGCAGGGTTTGGCCTCATTCCTCACCGATCAGCCTGAGTCCAGCTCTGCCTCTGCAACTGTGCTGAGAACATGAGGAAAATGTCGACGAAATCCAGGAAGGTCTTTGGGGTGATGAGGGGCATGCTGGGGGCCAGGTGTGTGGCGTAGCAGCTGGCAGAGCGGTGAATCAGAGCCATGGCTGAGGCAATGCTGGCGAGCGAATTCTCCAGGGCCTGCAGCGACGCTGGGACTGACAGACAAGCAAGTGGACACCATTAGAGACTGTGGAGAGGAGGCAGCAGGGCCCACGGGTTGGAGCTGGCCAGCACGAGCGGCCAGGCACTTGGTGCCTGTATTCTGTGCCGAACCCAGGTGGGCCTGGCCCTTTGCTGGCTGCATAGCCGCTAGGATCCAGGAGGGGCTGAGACCCCAGAAGCAGGCCGAGCCCTCACCTGGGCTCTGCAGAGGCTGCTGGCTGAGGGCATCTTCCAGGCGCTGGTTAGCCACCTGCACCAGGGACTCCTGGCTCCAGGGCTGGTACACATCAGTGCTGCAGGTGAGGGTGAGCAGGGCTGTGGCCATGGCTGTGGGGTAACCCAAGGGTCCCCTGCCCTTCGCCCAGCCCTTGTGCCCATCCAGCAGCAGCAGCAAATGCAGATTGCTCCTCACAGATTGGTAGAACCTGGAAGAGAAGGCCACGGGGCTGAGGGAAGAGAGGGGGACCCCCAAGATATGGGGTGACACCAAACCCCTCCCTCCCAGTCCAGTTTGAGGGGGACTGACACTAACCCCCACCCAGCACAGGGAGTGCCCCCTGCCACCAGTGGATAGCCCCAGCCCAGCAGGGTCTCAGGGCAGGCCCAGCTGGAATTTCCTTCTCTCACCAAATACCCCTGACAAGAGGATGCCCCCCCGTGTGCGGGCGGGGCCTCTATGATTCCCCCCAGGGCAGGCAAGGTCTGGAGCCTGTGTGCACCCTTCAATACAGAGGTGGGGGGAGGATATTACACCCCCCTGGGGTCACCCCCATTAGACCTGCCCGGCTCAGGGATCCCACCCCCCAAGCCGCGGTCACTCCTGTTAGACCTGCCTGGCTCAGGGATCCCCCCTCCCCCCCGCAGTCACTCCTGTTAGATCTGCCCAGCTCAGGGATCCCATCTCCCCCCCGCCCCCCTCCGGGGTCACTCCTGTTAGACCTGCCTGGCTCAGGGATCCCATCTCCCTCCTGCTCCCCCACCATGGTCACTCCTGTTAGACCTGCCCAGTTCAGGGATCCCATCTCCCCCCTGCCCCACTCCGGGGTCACTCCTGTTAGAGCTGCCCAGCTCAGGGATCCCATCTCCCCCCCGGCCCCCTCCGGGGTCACTCCTGTTAGACCTGCCCAGCTCAGGGATCCCATCCCCGCCCTGCGGTCACTCCTGTTAGACCTGCCCAGCTCACAGCATTCCCAACTTCCCCTGGCCATGGTCTCTGTCACTCCCTCCCTGACCTTTGCAGGACTATGTTGGGCCTCATGGTCCTTTTGATGTTCTGGTTCTCCTGCAGCAGTTCTTTCACGATGTGTGCGGTGTCTTCAGCAGTGTACAGGCCAGGGTAGGTGCCCTCTCTCATCAGATCCACCAGCTTCTGCATGGTGCCCAGTGCCACCCCCTGGTGCACCAGCACCACGACTCTAGCATCCAGGATCCCAGCCTGCCAGCTAGCTTTCCTGATCAGCTCTCTCACCTCCCACTCCCCCGCCTGCCCCGTCAGCTCAAAGAGCTGGGAGCTGGTGGCGTTGGCAGCCAGGGCCACCAGGGACCTCCTGCCGGTGGAGAGGTGCAGGGAGAGGAGGGCCCCATGCCCCTGTGGGCAGCACAGCACCCGCAGCAGGCGCACCAGGTGCTGGGTGACTTCTCTGCACAGCACGAAGCCCCTGGGGAGGAAGGTGCTGAGCTGCCGCTGGATGGTGTCCCAGCATCTCTCGTGGTAAAGGCTCTCCCGGCTGGAGGAGGCCGGCGTCAGCTCCCTGCTGAAGAGGATGTTGCGCACGTCCTCTCCTGGCAGCAGCAGGAGGTGGGAGGGCAGCAGGGGCTTGTTGCTCTCCTTCTTGGTGGAGGGCCTGCGCTTGCTCTTCAGGGGGGTGGTTTGGCGGGTGCTGGTGTGGCGCCCCATGGCCGGGTGCTGCTCCTGGAAGCGAAGGTGCAGGGCTGGAAAGGGCTGGATGGAAACCATTCTCTTCATCTCAGTCGCCTCTGCCCCCTCGGGCTCCAGTGCGTCCAGGGCAGAGTCCCTGGATGGCACTGCATCTGGCTGGTCCAAGGCCAGGGCTGGGGCCTGGTCTATGGGATCGAAGGCGTCGGGGCAGTCCCCGTCGCTGCTGCTCTGCGAGGAAGGCTCCTCATGGCTGTCAGCCAGCACACCCTGCTCAGCGCCCAGCTCCATGGCAGCGTCTTGCCCGGCGGGCTCCATGATGCTCCTGGCTCCCTCGCGCTGCTGCGGCTCCTTGTCACTGGTGGATACCACCCTCAGCATGCTCCTCTTGGTGCAGAAGGTGCTGGCAGCCACGTCCAGCAGCAGCTGCCCGCTCTCCTGCCGCTCGCGCTCCGACAGCAGCGGGTCGCAGAAGATGCGCAGCGACTCGTGCAGCCAGAGACGGACGATGACCCGGGTGCTCAGCGTGAGGCTGAGGCTTATCCCCGGCTGGCCTCGCTTTGCAGCCCTGAGGGTGCTGGGGTCCTCCAAGGGGCTGGTGAGGTGAATCCCGGGGCAGGGCCGCAGGAGGAAGAGGCCCCTGAGAACCTTCTCGATGTGGTGGTAGGAGAAGTGGTAGCAGGCGGGGGAGGAGCGGAATCTGGCCGTCATGGCCTCGTACACGTCCACAGTGGCCCCCACCAGGGCAGTAGCCAGCTCGCTGTGCCTGGCCAGCAGGGGGAACTTCTCCAGCCAAGCCAGGACCAGGGGTCTGTGGATGCTGATCAGAGACTCCCTGGAGACACTGGGGAGCGAGAGGATGCTGCAGAGCCGAGTGAAGCGAGGGGAGAGCGGGTGGACACCGATCGCTGGGGCAGCCACCAAGCCAAAGCAATTGAACTCTGCTGAAGGGATGTGTCGGAGCTCCAGGGTCTCGGCGCCATAGACCTCCTGGTGAGAGAGGGCCTGGCGCAGGGTCTCCACCACGGGGTGACTCCCCTGCCTGGCATCTGGGACAGAAAGGACCATCACGCCTTGGAGCAGCCTGCCTATCCCACCATCGGCCACCCACAGGCTCTTCTAGGAGCCAAGCGCCAGTGGCAGGAGGGCACTAAAACACACAGCCCTGCGGACTTAACCAACCCTGGGTGACGGGCCTGGCCAGGGGGAGCCAGGTCCAGCTCGGGGTTCCAGACCTAATGACGGGGAGCTGGGCCCTGTACAGCCCTGGGGGTTGGGGTGTCCGGAAGGGTTGCCAACTTTCTAATCACACAAAACTGAACACCCCTGCCTTGCCCCTTCCCTGAGGCCCCCTGCCCTCCACTCACTCCACACATACACCCCGTCGCTCACTCTCACTCACTCATTTTCACCAGGCTGGGGCAGGGGGTTGCGGGAGAGGGTGAGGGCTCCAAGGTGAGGCCAGAAATGAGGGGTTCAGGGTGTGGGAAGGGGCTCCTGGCTAGGGCAGGGGCATGAAGGCTCCAGGAAGGAGTTTGGGTGCGGGAGCGAGCTCAGCGCTGGGGCAGGGGGTTTGGGGCGCAGGAGGAGGATCCGGGCTGGGGCATAGGGGGTCAGAATGCTGGAGGGGGCTCTGGGCTGGGGCACGGGGTTGGAGTGCGGGAGAGGGTGCAGGCTCCAGGAAGGAGTTCGGGTGCGGGAGCGAGCTCAGCGCTGGGGCAGGGGGTTTGGGGTGCAGGAGGAGGATCCGGGCTGGGGCATAGGGGGTCAGAATGCTGGAGGGGGCTCTGGGCTGGGGCACGGGGTTGGAGTGCGGGAGAGGGTGCAGGCTCCAGGAGGGAGTTCGGGTGTGGGAGAGTCCTCAGCGCTGGGGCAGGGGGTTTGGGGTGCAGGAGGAGGATCCGGGCTGGGGCATAGGGGGTCAGAGTGCAGGAGGGGGCTCTGGGCTGGGGCACGGGGTTGGAGTGCGGGAGAGGGTGCAGGCTCCAGGAGGGAGTTCGGGTGTGGGAGAGTCCTCAGCGCTGGGGCAGGGGGTTTGGGGTGCAGGAGGAGGATCCGGGCTGGGGCATAGGGGGTCAGAGTGCAGGAGGGGGCTCTGGGCTGGGGCACGGGGTTGGAGTGCGGGAGAGGGTGCAGGCTCCAGGAGGGAGTTCGGGTGTGGGAGAGTCCTCAGTGCTGGGGCAGGGGGTTTGGGGTGCGGGCTCTGGGCAGTGCTGACCTCAGGCGGCTCCCGGAAGTGGCGACATGTCCCTTGGCTGCTAGGCTCAGGGCGCGGCCACGGGGGCTGTGCTCTGCCCTCACCTGTAGGTGCCGCCCCTGCAGCTCCCATTGTCCGCAGCTCCTGGCCAATGGGAGCTGTGGAGCCGGCGCTCAGGGCGGGAGGCAGCTCGGAGCCCCCATGGCTGCCCCTGTGCCTAGGAGCCAAGGGACATGTCGCCACTACCGGGAACCGTGAGGAGCTGGGCAGGGAGCCTGCCTGCCCCACTGCACTGCCAACTGGACTTTTAATGGCCTGGTCAGCGGTGCTGACTGGAGCCGCCAGGGTCCCTTTTCGACCGAGTGTTCTGGTAAAAAACTGGACACCTGGCAACGCTAGTGTCCAGGCCCTGAGATGGGGAGCTGGGTCCAGCCAGGGGGAGCCGGGCCCAGCAGAGCCCTGGGGCGGGGGGTGTCTGGCCCCAGTGAGGGGAGCCAGGCCGAGCCAGAGGGAGCTGGGCCCTGCAGAGCCCTGGGGCAGAGGGTGTCTGGGCCAAGGAGGGGGAGCTGGGCTGTACTGTGCCAGGGGGAGCCAGGCCCCACAAAGGATATGTGGCCATTTCAGCTCAGCCCAGGGCACTGTCTGACGTGAGGCGGGGGCTCACCCAGCTCGGCGGCGTGCAGGTCATCCAGCAGGAGCAGGTAGCAGCTCCTCCCGCCCCTGGCGGCAGGGGACCGGGATCCGAGGAGGCTGGTGAACAGGGCCTTGTCCCGCGTGCTGCCCAGGATGTGGCTCTCCAGCAGGTGGCGCACGTGGCCAGTGCCAAGGGCAGGTGAGATGGCGACGCGGTGGTAGGAGTGATTGGGCTGGATCAGCAGCTCCGCGAAGGATGACTTGCCACAGCCCGGCTCCCCGGCCAGAAGCACTGGCTGCCTGGAGCCCAGGAGCAGGTCCAGCACGTAGAGGAGTCGCTCGTACTGCAGAGCAGAGAGACCGTGCCAGGGAGGAGCCCTGGGACTGTGTAGCAGCTGACCAGAGGGGAGCGCCATGGAGACTCGGGCACATCAGAGGGCAAGGAGCGTGTGCCACCTCATGCCACGTCTCCTGGCTGCCTGGGGCTCTTGGAAGAGCTCCCAGCCTTGCCCCCTCTGTGCCTCTAGCATCTGACCTCTCCTTCTTTGGCATCCCAGACGTCATCCAGCAACTCTGGCGCTTATCACCAGTAGGAATGATACAGTGTTTGATGGTCCTGGATGGACCTAGGGCAGAACGGGGCAGCTCCCGGCGACCCCCTGGGGGCCAGTAGTACCTGGGGCAGCTCACAGGACCCCCCAGAGCCTGGCCATACCTGGGGCATGACGGGGCCTGTCATGGGGACAGCTGGGGCCTGGCTGAATCTGGGGCAGCACAGGGGCAGCTCACAGGGCCTGACTGTACCTGCAGCAGGATGGGGCAGCTCCTGGGGACCCCCCTGCCCAGGTCTGGCTGTACCTGCAGCAGGATGGGGCCGTACCTGGGGCAGGATGGTGAAGCTCACGGGAACTGCCTTGACTCTGCCAGACAGATACTTCCCATCAAAGACCTCCAGTTTCCCATCCTCAGGCTGGGGACAGAGGTCAAAGACAGAATCAGCTGAAGGCAGCTCTATGGTGTAGCGGCTGCTGTACAGGACTCTACGGGCAAAGCTGTCAAAGAGGGCCCAGTGTCTGCAAAAAATAGAGACAGAGAGATGGACAGCGAAGGGGAGAGTGCCCTGCTGTAACTACTAGACCCCACTTTGCTCCCAGAGCCAGGCTAGAACCCAGGAGTCCTGGCTCCCTGTTCTGCTGTTTTAACCCATAGACCCCACTCCCTTCCTCCCTACCCAGCAGTTCTGGCTTCCAGCCTCCAACCCCATCCCCAGTGTCCACATTCCATTGCTTCGGCCTCCCGGTGCTGCTCACTCATCATCATTGATGGCATGGCTAGCCCAGGGAACCCCTGGCTGGTACCTGGGGTGCAGGTGGCCACTGAAGCCCCAGATGTAGGCAAACACGAAGATGCTGCGGACGAGCAGGTGGTGATGGGAGGGGACAGCTTCATCCAAGCCCCAGGGTGAAGGGACAGCTGACACCCCTGCACAGCTGTTCTCAGCCACTGGGGAGAGAAAGAGTCAGTCACCTTGAGGCAGGAGACCCCAGCCTGGCCTGGCCTAGCGATGGCAGACCTCCTGGCAGCTCATTGGCAAAGCCTGGGCCTGGCAGGTGCTGCAGAGCTCTGTGTGGGCCCGAGGTCCAGACTGGCCCTGTCATAAGCATTCATGGGCAATGACGGGCAGAGCAGCCCCCTAGGAGGATCCATGCCAGTCACCCAGGACTCCCTGGATGGCGAGATCCTGCCAGCCCAACAGAGAGCCCCGGGCAGCCTCCACCATCTGGCCCCTTCCTTGGGGCTCTGCCCCTGCTCAGACCCTGGGGCACCCAGAATGGGGGACCTCGGCTGGTTGGGTTCAGAAGCATTGGGGACTGGTTCTAATCTGGACCCCATAAGAGCAGGGGGGCACAAGGTCATTGGTCCTGCTGGGGTTCCCCTCACCTGCCTGGTCCTCCCTTCTCAGAGGTTGGGCCTTCGCCTTGTCATGGCTCAGGTGTCGGTCCAGCAGAGCCTTCAGGAGCCTGGTGAAGGCTGTGGTCTCCGGGATGCCCCAGGCCATGGGGCTGCGCAGGTCGGCGTGAGGCTGCAGCAGGGAGCTGCAGTGTTGCTGCAGGAAGGTGAGCGTAGGGGGGAAGACATCCTCAGCGAGGCCACGCAGCATGACCACACTCTCCTGGCTCACACTGTACCTGTGGTAGATGGTGGCTAGGGATGAGGCCAGCAGTGCTTGCCAGACGCATGAGCCCCCGCAGTGCAGGAGGGCACACCGTGTGGAGATGGATGGAGAGATGCTGGAGACATCAGGCAGCTCAAAGAGGAACTTCACGCCCTCTGGGGAATGGAGCCGCTGCCCGCTTGGCAGGCTGAGAGCAGGCTCTGCACTGAACAGTGATGAGATGGGATCCAGCCACTCGGAGCTGGCAGATCCATCCAGCACCATCCATTGCTGGGTGCCTGGCCCGCTCAGCCCAGCAGCAGGGGCTGAGGAAGCCATTCTCTGCAGGAGCCTGGAGAAAACACCCTCCCTCCAGATGCCTCCCTCAAGCCTGCCCAGGAACTCAGAGGTGCTGAGACTGTTGGGGCAGAGGCAGACAGTGCTGATGGGCAGGTATGCCACGTCCTTCTGAGTGCCTGGCCTGCCCGCCCCTGGCGCCAGCTCCAAGGACTTGCTCACAGCCAGCCTGCTCAGCACCTTGGCCAGGGTTTTCCAGGCTGTGGTCTTGCCGCTGCCTGCGGGCCCCACCAGCAGGACCCCCGGCGAGCCCAGCAGGGCCTGGCAAAGCTGCACTATGGTGCTGGTGAGCTCGGGGTCTGCGTGGAGCTTGTCCTCATGCAGCTGTGCTGTCATGGCACCCAGCAATCCGGGGGGGGCATAGGCCTCAGGGAACAGGGAGCAGGAGGCAGGGAAGACCCCTCGGAGCAGCTCCCACACTCTACTCAGCCGGGGGTCCTCCAAGGCAACCAAGAAGGGTGAGAGGCAGAGAGCTTGGATGAGGGCAGGCTCCTCAGCCAGACCCTCAACGGATGATTGCTGGGCTGTGAGCTGCTGCCTGGGCTCTGGCTGTGGCCTCGCCACGGGCGGATACACAATGCCAATGGCTGCCTCAATGACCTCCTTCAACAAGGCCAGCCGGCTGGGTGCAGGGCCCGGGCCCAGCTCCCCCTCCAGCCAGAAGAAATAGCTCAGCTTCTTGGCCAGCTGTGCTGCTTCCCGGAAGCCAGCTGCCAGCAAGGTCACCTCGGCCACCTTGTGCAGGTCAGGAGGCAGCAGGGCCACGGGGCGCAAGGCCAGGTGCAGGAGCTCAGGGAGACGCTGCAGGGTGGCCAGGCAGCCGTAGGTCTCCCTGACCCGCAGCAGCCGCTCCCCAAAGAGGATGTTCCCCAGCACGCGGGGCTGGTATGGCTCTGCTTCATCCAGGCCCAGCTCTGGCAGGGCCCTTGCAGGCTGCTCCTGCCCCTCCCCGTCCTTGCTCTTGGATTTGTGGTTGGGGGTCACCTGGCCCTTCTCCGGCTGCAGGCCCATGCAGAGCATCTGCAGGTCTGACAGGAGCTGGCTGAACCCTGACAGGACGCCGGGCCCCAGCTGGTCCACAGCCTCCAGCAGCAGCCAGGCCCCGGCCTGCACAGCCCCACTCAGGTGTTGGCGGAGGCAGCCCAGGCCCATCTGCTGGGAGCAGTGCAGGATGACGAGCTGGCGCCCCAGAACCCTGGCCAGGTGCTGCATGGTGGCCGTCTTCCCGACTCCGTGGCAGCCCAGAGCCGCGCCACAGCGGAACTCCTCCAGGGCAAGCAGGAAGCCCAGGAAGCTCCTGTCCAGCTGGGGGCTCCCCACCAGGTGGGGACAGTTCCCCACATACTCATAGTCATAGTGCAGGCGGATGTCGAGGATCTCGGCCCAGCAGCCAGGGGTGCTGGCGGCCCAGCTCTCAATGGGGGACCCGGCTGCCCTGGCGCTCTCGGGGTGCAGGACCAGCCGGTACTTGAGCAGCTGGGCCCAGGCAAAGGCGGTGGGTGAGTCGACCTTGCGCTCCAGCAGGCAGGTCAGCATGTCACGCTGGTGCACGGTGACAGTGAGCAGGGCCCCCAGCAGTGTGCTGAGCTGGGCGCTGCCCGGCTGCCCGGCATGGCTGCTGCGGTAGTTGCGGACATAGTGGGCCAGGGCCTCCAGCTTGAGTCTGTGTTTGAGCTTCAGGCCGGGCCTGCACACGGTGCCGAAGAGCCGCTCCTGCACATCTGCAAACCACAAGGCCTCCTCAGCCAGCAGCACGCACTGGGCTGGGAAGTCTGTTGCCAGCTGCCCCCAGTGCTCCACCAGCAGGTGCAGTGGCAGCTTGGTGGGAGCTGGGCGCTGCTCAAAGGCCACGTCAAGCTGGGGCCGCAGGGCCAGGCGCTGGGCCATGCATGCCTGCAGCAGGTGGAAGAGGGCCTCCTTCATGCGCTGCTCCAGGGCGCACAGCCATTTAGTGACCTTCTGGTTGAGGGGCAACGGGGAACACAGCGGCACCGTCTCCCCACAGGCTCCCACCAGGCCTGTGGCCTCTGACACGGGCAGCAGGGCAGCATAGGTGGCAGGGTCTCCAGTGGTCGAGAGCTGGCGGAAGGCCAGCTGGTGCACAGTTGGGAAGCAGCGGCGGGCCCAGATAGTCACCTCCATGGGCTCTGCTGGCGAGGCCACCATAGCCACCACCTCTGTGTTGCTGAGGAAGAAGAGGCGGGGGAAGCCCATGCGCGTAGCCTCCAGCACGTACTCCAGTGCGTGGATGAGGAGCTGCAGGTCCTCAACACCCTCACTCAGCATGGTCTGCAGGGGCACACCCATAAAGCGGCTCTCCCGGTTGGAGGTGGCCATAGGCATCACGCTGGATAGCACCAAAGGGTGCTTGGACGTCACCTCCATGAGCTCCCGGAACCTGCTGTCCAGCTTCTGGAACAGGCAGTCCTGGCATGAGGAAAGCAAGCATCAGCCCTGTACAAGGGAAGCCCCAAGGGGCAGGGAACTGGAGGCAGTAAGGATGGGAGGGAGGACTCACTGGCTCAGGGCAGGGGCATGTGGTGCGGGAGACGACTCACCAGCTCGCTGCTGGGCAGGCTGATGTCCATCTCATACAGCACTATATTCAGGAAAATCCACTTCTGCTGGAAACTGACCCAGACGTCCAGCAGGGCTCCTGTGGAGAGAGGAGTCTGGGTGTGAGCATTCCTGGGGTACCTTCCAGGGTATACAAACCCCACACTGGAAAGGAAGGGGCTAAGGAGCTGCTCTCAGCCCCGGTGGCCCTACCCACCACACCTGCAAAGCCGACACAGGCTGGAGGTGGAGCTTACAAAGCTTACGGTGGCAGGCAGACAGTTGAGGTGAACCTGCCCCAGAGCTCTTGGGAAGGAAGGCCACAGGAGTGACCTGCCCAAGCCCACAAAGAAGGGACCTGTGACTCTCTGAAGGCACAGACTTTATCTTGGTGATTAGTTATTTACTTTATTCAGTGGGAAGAGACAGGACTGGCAGGGAAGGAGCTGCACAGCCCCTGAGGGTGCAGGACTTAGCTGCCTACCGTTGGGCACTGGATCAGAGATGGGTGGGTCTGGGCTCCCCACCAATCCCTAAAGAGTGATTACAATGGAAGTCTATCCCTCACTGGGGAACCTAGATGGGGGAAGACTTTGAAGGTACAAGGAGCTGGACCATGAGACCTCAACCCAAAGGGGAAGCCCTGAATCCCTCCCTTGCCCTGAAGACTCCCCAATATTGGACTCTTTATATATATACACCCCAAACAGTGTGGAACTGAAAACATGACCTGGCTGGAGGGCTGAGTCACTGAGAGTATGTTGCAATGTAAGACAAGGCTCAGATAAAATCTCAGAATAAACTTCCTCACTGTAAGACAATGGACCAGACGACTAGGGAGGTTGTGGAAGCTCCTTCACTGGAGGTTTTCCAAAGGACGGTGGAGAGCCATCTGTCTTGGATGATTTAGACCCAACAAATCCTGCATCTTGATGGGGATTAGACTAGATGACCCTTGCGCTGCTGCCCCGTCTAACCCTATGATTCTATAAAACCACTGCCAACTCCACACTCCTGGATGTCAACTTACCACTCCACACTGGAACCCATATAGGGTATCCTCAAATAATTACAACCCATACTTCATGGGACCACATTCTGAAAGAAATCTTTCCTGAACCTCCTCTTCCGATTAGGCCCCAACTGGAGTATTGTGTCCAGTTCTGGGCACCACACTTCGGGAAAGACATGGACAAATTGGAGCAAGTCCAGAGAAGAGCAACAAAAATGATTAAAGGTCTAGAAAACATGACCTATGAGGGAAGATGAAAAAATGGGGTTTGTTTAGTCTGGAGAAGAGAAAACTGAGTGGGGACAGGATAACAGTTTTCAAGTACATAAAAGGTTGTTGTGACGCAGTAGGGAGCGGGGTGGATTGACCCGGGAATGTCATCTAGTTTTACTGGGACTATCTGCATTGGGGATGGGATAGCAGGAAGTGACTTTACTTGAGGGACGATACCTGAGCCTGTAACCTGAGCCAGGAGGCGGGTTGAAGCCAGGTGACACCTTTGCCCGGGAAACTGGACAAAGGCTGAAGAAGGAGCTGGGGGGAGTGGGAGAGAGACGGCTGGAGGGGGGTTTGTTTTCAGTTTTGGGCTGGCAGGCGAAACTCAGGGAACCCCAAGGCTGGGGTCTAAGCTCTCTGCCCCCCAGAAGAACTTGACTGAGGGGTCCTGGTTGTACCTACAAGCTCTGTTTGGGACTGTGTTCCTGTCATCCAATAAACCTTCAATTTTACTGGCTGGCTGAGTGTCACGGTGAATGCCAGGAAGAGGGGTGCAGGGCCCTGACACCCCCACACTTGATGAAAGTTGTTACAAGAAGGAGGGAGAAAAATAGTTCTTCTTAACCTCTGAGGATAGGACAAGAAGCAATGGGCTTAAATTGCAGCAAGGGTGTTTAGGTTGGACATTAGGAAAAAATTCCTAACTGTCAGGGTGGTTAAGCACTGGAATAAATTGCCTAGGGAGGTTGTGGAATTGCTATCATTGGGGATTTTTAAGAGCAGGTTAGACAAACACCTGTCATGGATGGTCTAGATTGTGCTTGGTCCTGCCGTGAGTGCAGGAGACTGGACTAGCTGATCTCTCGAGGTCCCTTCCAATTCTATGATTCTGGCCTTCAAACAACCCCCCAACCTCTCCAAGCTCATCATCAGAAACAAGTTCCTCCTAGACTTGGACACACAACTCAATGCGGCAGCAGACCCTGCCAGAACAATAGATACAAAACCTGTAGACATATCTCCACTACTATGATGATCAACACCCCCCTCAACACATCTTTTGAGATCCATGGGCCCTACACATAAATGCCCTAATAACAACTATGTGGGTGAAACCAGGCAACCAATACGTCTTGAATGAACTCACACAGGAAAATGATAAAAAACAAAAACATCCTACCACCTGTGGGTGAACACTTTTCATGAAGTGGTCACTCTTTATCTGACCTCTCAGTCCTCAGCCTCAAAGGAAACCTGCAGAACACCTTCCAAAGACAAGCCTGGTAGCTTAATCCATAGCTTTGCTAGACACTAAAAATAATGGACTGAACAGAGACACTGGATTTATGACATATCACAGTGGATATACTTCTACGATCTATAACCCACTAACCTCCACCCAACTTCCTCCACCACACACCACTGGAGAAATGTTAATGGGCCACTTCACCTTGAATGGTCCCTTGAAATATGTGTTAACTCCTTATGCTAAACAATCCGTTCTACCTTATATTTAGCTGTAATGCTCTTAGCACTTTTCCCAGCCCTGAAGAAGAGCGCTGTGTAAGCTCCAGATGACTGGAAGCTAGCTAATGTAACGTCAATTGTTAAAAAGTGCTCCAGAGGCAATCCTGGCAATTACAAGTCTGTAAGCCTACTTTCAGTACCAGGCAAGCTGGTAGAAACTGTAGTAAAGAACAGAATTATCAGACACCTTGGGGAAGAGTCAACATGGCTTTTGTAAAGGGGAATCATGCCTCGTCAATCTATTAGAATTTTATGGATAAGGGTGATCAAGTTATACAGTGTACTTGAATTTTCAGAAAGTCTTTGACAAGGTCTCTCACCAAAGGCTTAGTTTCTTTAAGTGGTCATGGGAGTTGCCTGAGTTGTCCTGAACAGACTGCAGATCCTTGCAGGCAGAATCTACCCTGAATCACAGTGTGGCTTCAGAGCTGAAAGGTCTGCTATTGACATGATCTTCTCGCTGAGACAACTGCAAGAGAAATGCGGAGAACCAAGAAGCCCCTCTACATAGCCTTCACCAATCTCACAAAGGCTTTTGACCTTGTCAGTAGAAGTGGACTATTGGCACTTCTAGAAAGGTTTGGATGTTCCCCCCCCTCCCCAAGCTCTTCAGCATGATTTGATCCTTCCCTAAAAACACGCACAGCACAGTCCAATACAACGGCTCAGTAGTAGGAACGGATGGGTAGGATCCCCTGGGGGACTAACATGAAGGGGAAAGGAGTCCAGGAGAGCTCGCTGTATTTCAAGGAATCCCTGTTGAGGTTACAGGGACAAACCATCCCGATGTGTCGAAAGAATAGTAAATATGGCAGGCGACCAGCTTGGCTTAATGGTGAAATCCTAGCGGATCTTAAGCATAAAAAAGAAGCTTACAAGAAGTGGAAGGTTGGACATATGACCAGGGAAGAGTATAAAAATATTGCTCGGGCATGTAGGAATGAAATTAGGAGGGCCAAATCGCACCTGGAGCTGCAGCTAGCGAGAGATGTTAAGAGTAGCAAGAAGGGTTTCTTCAAGTATGTTGGCAACAAGAAGAAAGCCAAAGAAAGTGTGGGCCCCTTAATGAATGAGGGAGGCAACCTAGTGACAGAGGATGTGGAAAAAGCTAATGTACTCAGTGCTTTTTTTGCCTCTGTCTTCACGAACAAGGTCAGCTCCCAGACTGCTGCGCTGGGCATCACAACATGGGGAATAGATGGCCAGCCCTCTGTGGAGATAGAGGTGGTTAGGGACTATTTAGAAAAGCTGGATGTGCACAAGTCCATGGGGCCGGACGAGTTGCATCTGAGAGTGCTAAAGGAACTGGCGGCTGTGATTGCAGAGCCATTGGCCATTATCTTTGAAAACTCGTGGCGAACGGGGGAAGTCCTGGATGACTGGAAAAAGGCTAATGTAGTGCCAATCTTTAAAAAAGGGAAGGAGGAGGATCCTGGGAACTACAGGCCAGTCAGCCTCACTTCAGTCCCCGGAAAAATCATGGAGCAGGTCCTCAAAGAATCAATCCTGAAGCACTTACATGAGAGGAAAGTGATCAGGAACAGTCAGCATGGATTCACCAAGGGAAGGTTATGCCTGACTAATCTAATCGCCTTCTATGATGAGATTACTGGTTCTGTGGATGAAGGGAAAGCAGTGGATGTATTGTATCTTGACTTTAGCAAAGCTTTTGACACGGTCTCCCACAGAATTCTTGTCAGCAAGTTAAGGAAGTACGGGCTGGATGAATGGACTATAAGGTGGGTAGAAAGTTGGCTAGATTGTCGGGCTCAACGGGTAGTGATCAATGGCTCCATGTCCAGTTGGCAGCCGGTGTCAAGTGGAGTGCCCCAGGGGTCGGTCCTGGGGCCGGTTTTGTTCAATATCTTCATAAATGATCTGGAGGATGGTGTGGATTGCACTCTCAGCAAATTTGCGGATGATACTAAACTGGGAGGAGTGGTAGATACGCTGGAGGGGAGGGATAGGATACAGAGGGACCTAGACAAATTGGAGGATTGGGCCAAAAGAAATCTGATGAGGTTCAATAAGGATAAGTGCAGGGTCCTGCACTTAGGAAGGAAGAACCCAATGCACCACTACAGACTAGGGACCGAATGGCTAGGCAGCAGTTCTGCGGAAAAGGACCTAGGGGTGACAGTGGACGAGAAGCTGGATATGAGCCAGCAGTGTGCCCTTGTTGCCAAGAAGGCCAATGGCATTTTGGGATGTATAAGTAGGGGCATAGCGAGCAGATCGAGGGACGTGATCGTCCCCCTCTATTCGACATTGGTGAGGCCTCATCTGGAGTACTGTGTCCAGTTTTGGGCCCCACACTACAAGAAGGATGTGGATAAATTGGAGAG